ATATATATATATATATATATATATATATATATATATATATAGTATATTATTGTATATTATATCTACGTATACATATATATAATACGAATCAACCGAATTAATACGTTCTATTATTTCTTTTCCTTTTCTATATTTTTCCTCTTCGTCTATATGATAATTGATACTCACTTGTAATGTTCTAGACCTTGTTCCAAACCAAAAACAAGAAGCATAAATGTTAACGTTACAATAAAGGTGACGGCTTTTGTCCATTCAAAAACTATTTTGGTAGCAGACATAGCTAAATGTTTAATCTTGGATCTTTCCGTGAGAGTCACATAAGGTGACCAATCTTCCTTTTCGATTAATTCCTTAATATAGCTAATACAGTAAGTAATCACGTTATAAAACATTAATGTATAAAAACATGTCATTTTTGGTTCTAGTATAAAGATGCGATCAGCCAGCATAAAAAATACAATTTGATTTATCATCATACAAATATTCTTCATTTTAAGAAAAAGATTTTCTGCTCGATCAATCGGATCATACAATCGTATCAAAAATATATTTAATTGTTGCCACATCATCTTGGTAATTCACCTTTAAATAAAACAATAATCTAACTTAATAATTCAAAGAAATTTTAATTGATTTATTTATCATTATTATCTCTCTCTTTATCTCTCTTCTTCATATCTTTTTATATTTCAAAATTCAAATTAAAGAAGTTTATATATAATTATTTTTGCATAATTTAATAATTTGATCTATATTTTGATCTGATTCGAAACAAGAAAATAGTATACGCGTGCTATCTTTAATTTCTCATAATTGTGATTATGTTAGCTTGAAAATTGAAAATTATCAACTATATATGCGAACATGAAAATTATACTTACCTTAGCTTAACTTCACCAAATTTTGCGCAAACAAATATAATATAAATAGACACCAAATGATAGCACACTTGAGGAACATAACATTTTATTTCAAATATAAACGAAATAATATTTAAATATTTCTAATAGTAGGTACATATAAGTTCATATATATTTCATTATATTTATATTTTGTATTATATAATTTAGAATTGTTAATCGTGGCCAATTATATATCACTTTTTTTTTTTAATTTTTTTTTAATTCAGTTATTTCATTCTCGATTATTGTTCTTCGATGTATGAAACGTACGTCCTAATAATTTCTATGATAATTGTCTATTATTAAAACTGTAGCGAGGTAAGAGAGAGATAGGAGAGAAGGGGGAGGGGAGGAGGAGATACCATTTAAGGAGTCAAATATTTTCTTTTATAAAATATTCTTATATAAATTTCATTATACGAACAATATCATTATTTTATTGAAATATGTAAAAATGTGCCAAAAATGCATTCAGCAATCACTTATCAATATTTTTATTTATTTTTTTATATAAGTCCGAGATTTAATTATAACTGTTCATTTTAACTGGTATTGACTTTTCTATAATACTAGAACGTTTCCATTATTCGTTTGTCGTTACTGATTATTTTTTCTCGTTTAAATTCATGATAACGAATTGAATTCCATTAGAATCATGTCCAAATTGACTTTTTTTTTATCCGCGAAAATAATTTTTCTTCACGATCTGTTTAATATACATATTTCTTAACAAACAGTATGTCTTCCATCTGGATTATAATAATCGTGAATAATTTTTAATTTTATTTTTGTATATTATATTTTGTGGTATTATTTTTGCATATTATGTTTTACGGTATGCGATGGAAAGATCGTATTATATATTTACATCAACTTCGTAAGAAATTTGTTTTGCCGCAGCACAGCAATTGGAGACAACATATAATATTGCTCGTTTTTCTCGATCGGATAATATAATTCTTGACCGTATTCCATCCTCTTCTTCTTCTTTCTAAATTTCGATAGCATTTTTTATAAAATTTTATTATATATTATATACATATATTACTCGATATTATTATTCGAAATAATAAATTTTTGATTTCTGAAACAAAGAATTTTTGTTTTTGATTGTTTTTTCGATAAGTTTTTCATGATCCACAATGTAAAAATTATACGATACATTGTTGTACTTTTAAAGTTCGAGAAATATTAAAGATAATGTGAATAGAATTTCAGTGTGCTATAAATCTGTGTCTATATTTTTTACGTGTTTATATTTTTTTCCACGTAAAATTTAGCCAAGTGTCAAAGTAGCTAAGGTAAGTTATATTTTTATACTCGCACGGCTCAATGTTTAAAATGCGTATCGCGTTTTAAAATTTTCAAATTACATATCATAAACTGAGAAATTAAAGATAGTGACGCGTGATTGATCGATGCATCGACAATTTCTTATCGATTTGGTCAATAGAATAAATTTGTTAACGAAGAGTGACAAGTGCAAACAACATGTCAATAAATGACGACCTTTTTTTGTTTTTCCTAACGTTTCAACTAAGAAAATTTACATATTAATGGATGTTCGTCTAAGAAAATCAGTGCAAATAAGGAAAGACCTGTCTGGAAGGATATTATTCACGATACGATGGATAATTAGGGCGAGAAGCAGGAATTTCTCTTGACAATCTAGATCATCTCTAAGGGGTGAAACGATAATAGAATACATCGATTCATTTTGTAAAATCAACAGCTATGTGCCTTCCTCCCCCTTCCTTCTCTTGCCCTTTCTTCATATCCCTATAAAATAAACCGCACTTGGCTTCAATGGCACATTCAACGTCTTTCCGTCTTCGCGTTATCATATTTTCTTGCTCATTGTTATTTAATTCTACGCGACTAGAAACACTTGGATCCGAATATCTTCTTAGGGTGAGCACTGAGTGCACCGTCTTATGCTTTTCATAACGGTCATCATCAGTTTCTTATTACGTACATAATATATTTCATTATTTGTTTTGTATCAAAGTGGAAAGTCAGTATAATATGAATAAATGGAGAAAAGAGGAAAAGGGGGGGGATAGAAAAAAGGATCGTATAAATGAGAATAAGATAGAAAAATGAGAGAAGCCATCAGAAAAGGTGGGGGAGGGTGAAGGATATTAATATATATATATATATATAAATTAATATATATATATATATAATTATATATAAAGTTTAATAAATTGAAAAAAATTTCTATCATATTTACAATAAATTATGCGATGATGTATCATCATAGATTTGATCGTATATTTTTAGTTAATTTTCATTTGTAATTATATACACACGTATATAATTAATATTGAATATTCTTGGAGAAAGAAAAAAATAAAGATAAATAAGATAACGAAATAATATAAAAATCGAAGAGAATGGAAGATTCATGTTTAAAATACAAAGAAACATGTTACTAATTTATTTTCATTAATTATCAAGATTAATTTAGCTTTGGTATTAAACTCGATTCGATAAAATACAAAAAATAAAAATTTGGCAGAAATATAATTATAAATTTTATTATTATTTTAATTCTTTCGTGTAAGTTACTTCTATTATGAATTATTTCTCGGTTAATAAAAATTTGCGAAATAGTATATATGACATATATACGATACTTTTCAACGAAACGATTATAATTTGAAGATCTTAAATATAATCGTTATAAATTTGCAATTTTTAAATCTTTAAAGCTTTTATGTCTAGCAATAAGCGTAACAACAAACATAATCGGAACAATCTTTAATAAAAGAAGAAAAAACACGACGATTAAATCAAAAATTCGTAAAATATTTTATCAAATTCGTTCCTTATAACTTCAATGCATCGTTCAATTTATTTACAAGAAATGAATTGTTTATTTCTCTGTGATGTGAGTATCAACTCGTACAATTATATTGGAAAACTTGAATTAATATTATCAATGAACCAAAAACTCGTCCTAGTACATCAATCGTCATAGTTGAAATTAATTTCACCGACTAAAACCGCCTCTTTTTTCGATATATACTTGGCTAGAAAGAAAAAAGAAAAGAAAAAAAAAATTCTTTTTCTTTATACGCCGATTCGTAAAATGATTAATTAATTATCTCGTGGTCATTCGATATGTATATATATATATAATATTGGAAAACTTAGCGCGATTCATTCATGTTGTTTTTTCTTCGTTCGGATCGAATCGAACATACACTTTTCAGTTATATTTTTTGGAACAAATGATGATCTTGCAAAATTTAATATTTTTTTAATAATCAATAATTATCCAATTTCATCTCGCATCAAATTTTACAAGATCGTTGATCGTTGATTGCGAAAATTGATTATAAAAAAATGGGAAATATAAACGTTCGAAGCTGCTCAAGGAATTAAATTTAAAACATAGAAAATATAAATATAGAATCAAAATGAAATGTTAAAAATGAATATAAATTATTTATTCGCAATAGATCATTTTTAAAGTTGAATTTTCAAAATCGTCAATTTATCATCTTTATCATAGATTTATTCATTATATATATTCTTCAAAAGAAATAGAAGAAATGAAAACTTAAAATTGATATTATCGAAAATAGTAAGTACAGGAAAAAGAGAAGAGTTTCATTTAACGTAAAGCGAATGAAACGGAAGCGGATGATACCTTATCTCACTTAGCTCGCATATTGACTTTCTCGCTTGTAAACGTTTAAATATCAATATAAAAAATATCAATATATGTATATACATTTATAAAATAAATTATTTTTGTGGAGGGGGAGGGAGGAAGGAAGGAGGGAAGCAAATATTTGTGCATGCGTGCGCAAATATTTTACAAATTTTACTTCAAATTTGTTTCAAGAAAATTATTTTTCTTCAGACTTTTTTTCTGCGATTTGAAATATGATATACGAGTATACATAGCATAATAAAATTTTGTTTATAGTTAATAATAATATCGAATACTCTTAATATTTGTGATATGTACATATATGTAAAACAGTACGTTCATTTAATCATCTCTACTAGAGGGAAACAAATCTCGAATTTTGTTTCAATTTTGTTTCAGATCTACGGAACGCGAAATGTTTGCTATACAAACAATCCGCATAGCTGTACTGCTTGCCATTGTTTTTCTGTAAGAATCTTCAAAGCTTCAAAACATTTGATTTTATTCTATTTATTTTATCTATTTAGATCTTATTCTATTCGTAAATTTCATTAAATGGATTACGATATCGTTATACTTATCGTTCGTTTTCTCTTCTAACACGATATCTGAAGTGAACATGGAACGAACAATTCGTATAACACATGTTTATTTTTATTTATAAAAATTTATTTAAATATTAAAAAGATACACGGATATTTAATCATCTTAACGACCCGATACAATATCATGCATCAATTACGCTATATGTGAAAAACGAGGATCAACATAAACAAATTTGATATGGTATTATTATAGGTAAATGTATGACAATAATGTACCTATACTTGATTTGATCAGGTTTGATAAATGTTCCGGTTATCCATCGATAAAATATACACAAAAACAAGGAATAACATCTTGCAATGGATGTGGTGATTCTTGCCACAAATGCAAATACGGTATTGCGATATCGAGCGTTTGTGGCATTGAGCAATGCGCAAAGGCGAGTATTAAGTAATGAATCTATATTTTTATATTAATAATTAATCGTTACTAGTTAGAAATCGATCGAGTTACAATATTTTACGATAATTCTACATTTATTTCTCTAGGGACCCGATGAATTGTGCGGAGGACCGCAAAACTTTCTTGGTATTTGTGCCGAAGGTATGCAATGCAGCTGTAATAAATGCATCGGTTGCAGCGCAGAGAAATTTGAATGTTCCAAGACACCAAATCCTTGTTTGCCTCACAGAAGCTCGGAATCCCGCGATGTCAATAAATTTAGAAAATGGTCTTCTATCGCGATCAATTGAAATCGATTTATAAATTTGACGGATCGTATCGTAATCGAAGGAGGATTAAACGACAGTTTTATTTCGCCATTATTCTTAAATTATACGTATATAGATTGATCGAATATTGTAACGATAATCGTAATGCACTATCGAGCAACGCTCAATCTCCGACTATCCAACTTAATTGTAATAATAATTTAAAATGAATCTACCGAAAAATTATTGGCATTTGTACTTAAGTATTTATTTACTTACTTATTTTATACGCGATCATTAAGAGAGAGAGAGAGAGAGAGAAAGAGAGAGTGGGAAGAGAAAGAAAACATCGATATAAGAGATGATATTAAAGTAAAAAGAAAATATGTATATATGTATGTGTACATGAATGGACGGAGGAAAATAGAAGAAACGATGAAACGATCGAACGAGAGAACGAACGATGGAAAATGGGCGAGAAAAATGGAAAAGAAGCGGGAATTCGAATAATTTTCGATTCAATTATTTTTATTTTTTTCTTTTTCCTTTTTTTTTTGCGTCACGAGAAATAACAAAAATAAAACATCTGAAAATTCTTTCGATGCGATTCAATAATAATTTGGTTTGAATTTACTTACATACACATACATGCCCGTTTATTACTTGTTATTAATAATAATGAAAAAATAAAAAGAAAACGATTCAACTGTCGTGAGTACTTCGAAATATGATA